AATGTAGCGCAGATGACTTATCTATGTTTCCTGTGAATTTTAATAAATAAATAAATAAAATAAATAAAACTTAAGGCACCCCAGAAGGCCGTATTTTACCACGTACCAGCCAGGTGCACAACTCACTGTAACTTCACTTTCTACTTCGTGCTGTAGTGCACGAATCCGAGCGCGTCAAGCACACGAATCTTGATTTTTCAAACCCTCCTTACCGTTTTGATGCGTCTTCCTGTGTTATTTTGAGCCCGCCATCGAACGACCACGGCGTGTGGGGCGTACTTACATAACTCGGCACAAACGATTCGCCAACGTGATGACTATTAGTGCGTTATAGAGGAGGCCGAGGGTGTCCACAGAATATAACTGAATCGCATCGTAAAGGCAGGGAGTTACTGTATTGTGTTGTTCTTTCTTCAGTACTGTAATTTTGGCAGGCGTCTCATTATTGCATTCACAAATATTGCAGTTAAAACTTCCGTAGGGCTAAATATTTTCACTGTTTATTTTGACAACGCACTTACTACAATACGCATTTTGCGGTTCGCCTAATGGAAATTTTTTAACTTACTGTAATCCCCTGGCGATTTGCATCAAAAATTCGATTCATGGGATCTATCTAGTACAGCCGATTGGAAGGAGACCATGTGTCGTCACCGGATATCCGCCGGGAATACTGCACTAATTCGGTTTCGGGGCTGATAAGGCAATTAGCCTCCCAGATTCCTTGGTCCATTCCAGAATAACACCTGGGTACACTCTGCTGCAGCTGGAAATTTTTCAATGCGAGCTTGACGTTTGAGACATTCGGATTCAACCTGATTTTCTTAAAGGTTCCCGCAAGGACTCAAAAATACCGACAAAACCCTATATGCAAAATCTTCTTTTCCATCAAGAACCTTCCACATTACGATCTATCAATGTCTGAGACTGCTAAGCTCGAAACTAAGGGTTTGTCTTCAGAGGCTTTCAGAAGGAGCACAGACTAGCCAGTTTCGTAACCTGTTTAAAGCAATACAGTAGCCACAGTAGGTACCAATTATAACCCAATCCCGCCTACACCTGTAGTTCGATTTTTTCGCCCAATAATCGACACGGCGCGCTTGTCCACATATTTCCGGCTGGCCGATGCCACCGTTTTGTGAATCATTTTCCCCCTCGCTTGAATTCCGGGTCCAAACACTCGACCCTCGCCCTCACCCATTGTCCCAGTATTTTTTCGCGAATTTCCATTTCTCTCTCGGTCTCTCTCTCTCTCTCTCTCACTCGAACCCTTTTCGAGCCCTCCAATTTTCGCCGAAATAAGCGCGGACACCGCAGCTGCCCAAACCTCTATTCCGGGATCAATTCCCGCCTGCAAACCGCTACTTTGGCAGTGGCGCAGCGGTGTGGCGAGGGTCAATTACGCTAACTTTGTTAATTTGCGGCCCGGTGACGCCTTTCTGATCTCAAGCTAACCTTTCATGAAACGGCATTTGACGTTTTAGGCTTACAAGGAGTCGCTTTTAGGTGCTTTTGGAGTTTCGGGACGGGACCTAGCTAGTTCGATAGAGAAAAAAATTCTGAGCAACATCCCGTTTTCAAAAAGTGCTGATCGATAAAGGTGTTTTAGAAAATTTAATGTAAAGTTCGCGCTTTTTTCTAGTTTTCGGGTTCATTTCCTCGGTTGACGTCGTTTTCGGGGCTGGACGGGCCGCCATTCATCACCTTCCGGCAAGGCCCCCGCCACAGATTGCATTGGCGTATTGGTAACGCGCTTGCCTACCAAATTTTTTAACATTTTTTGCGTCGGGTTCGAATCTTCGCGCTGGCTAAACCTTTGCTTTTTGGTTCTTGAGCCCGTTAGCGGTACATAAAGTTTTCATAAGCAAAAAGCAAAAAGTTAACGATAAGTAAGAATCGAACTTGCGGCAAAAGGTTAAAAAATCTTCGTAGGCCAACGCACTAGCCACTTGGCCATGCCTAGGACGGGATCCAGGACGCGTGAAGTCCTCATGTGGTAGGGGGGGTCCACCGGCGCAAACCACCTCAAATCACCACATGGGTCGGGAAACCGGGAACATTTTTAATTAAATTGAATTTTCTAAAGCACCTTTATCGATCAGCACTTTTTGAAAACGGGATGTTGCTCAGAATTTTTTTCTCTATCGAACTAGCTAGGTCCCGTCCCGAAACTCCAAAAGCACCTAAAAGCGACTCCTTGTTAGCGCGGACTTGCGCTCAGGGTCAAGCTTAGGCATAGGCTTGGCTTGGGACTGGCTTGAACTTGAGCTTAGGCTTGTCTTCCGCTCGGTTCAAGCTTCCGCTTGCTCTTTTTTGTCTTCAAGCTACTTCATGCCATTTTTCTAATTTGCCAAAATTTTCAACTCGCGAGCTGCGTCTCAAAACCCCGGAGATCCCGGTTTCCCGGGTGGTCAAGGCAAAAGATCGGGAACCGGCTCTGCGATTCCTTATTTACGTGCAGAAAGTGATCGATTTGGCGCATCCCCATACCCCTTGTTATTCTCTACTCTCTTGGAATGGAGCAGCGACTTTTTGCATTTTTTGACGTAACAAAATTGATTGATGTCTTTTTCGAACCCTAATTTATTTGCTCTCGCCATCTCTCTCTCTCTCTCTCTTCTCTCTCTCTCTCTCTCTTTCTTTTCTACTAAGCCGACTTAAGTTTTTTGTTTCCAGATAAAGATGATGACCGATCTTGGCGAGTGGGGTGGAGGAGTGGTGGCCAAAAGACCTGGCAACCAAGCTTCGAGTCCCGATTTCTACCAAGGCTTTTTGCTGAGAGCCCAACCCATCATAAATCCCGTCACGAAAATTGATCCTGATGCAACGGTGGGTTTTTACGTAAATACTTGTTTATTGTTTATTTTTCCTCTTTCTCGCCTATTTCTTGCGTAAAATCGTAAATTCCAAACGATTAGTCGCTTCCGTAGTATTGCGTAGTTGTGATCACTCTTTGATTTCGCTTGCCCTCTAATTTATTGTTTCTCTGGCTTAATCTATCTCACTCTCTCTCTCCCTCTCTCTCTCTCGCTCTCTTTCTCGCTCTCTCCATTTCCCGAACTTGTCGCCGCAAGCTCGCATCCCTATAAAATTACAAAAAGCTTGAACAAAGCTCGTCCCAATCCTAATTCCGCAAAATCTACAGTTCCCCGATTTGTATCCATATCGGGAGCATAAAATGCAGACAGTTCAGCGCCATCCAGCACTGCATATCTCCCACTTGCCCACCCACATGCTCCCCCAATATTGATTCAGATCTGCGGGGGACACGGGAGAACACGGGGGAATTTTGTACTTGGTCTGCCCGAGGCTAAAGCAACCAATCTTGTATTCGATTTATGCAGATTTATCTTTGTCCTTATGAGCTCTTGGTCTTGGATAGGATCTAAAAAGTTCCGTGGGGGGAAGCAGTGTTTTTCTTACGCGGAAATTTTAGAAAATTTCCTAGTTTTTTTGATCGCGTCGGCTCGTAAACCTGCTTTACTGGTTTTTTTCTGATAGTTCTTGCTCGGTTTCGCATTTATACAAATCTAATTTAAGGAGCGAAGCTCCTATTCGTTCTGTAACCAATCTCACAGATATATTTGTAAAATAAAAAATTTGTGTAAAATTATTGATTAATCAATAAGGCTAGGCTTCGTAAATGTTGTATATCTCTCTCTTTTAGCAAGATGAATCCGAATCCACCGGGTATGAAGAATCGCTAGACTCGGACAGCTCGCCAACCTGTCAATTGGTAATTATGCTTTTTTCGCGTTACCCAAATCATTTAGGCGCTAATGTCACCTTCGCCCAGCCTTAGCGTCTTGCCTGTGAAGAAGTTCAAAAACATCCGGAAATCGGACAAATTCAAGTGCGCGGTGTGTGGGGATAAGGTAAGCCACTAGAACTTGAAACTGTACAGTTCTGTGCAGCGGAATTGACAAAAAAAAACGAATGAAGAATCGTTATCTTGGCTATACAAAATTTTGCAGCTTAATATAAAGTAAAAATTTAATTGGTGTAATCGAGAAACCATGCGATAATAAAATCCTTTCAGCCAACCGGCTACCACTACGGTACGATCTCCTGTAACGGCTGCAAGACGTTCTTCAGGCGGTAGGATAACGAACATGTCCATTACTTTTCGTTCAGCACCATCATCGCCAACCGAAAGTTCACCTGCTCGAAGGGCGGTAGATGTTCTTTTGACAAGGATTTCCGGTGTGCCTGTCGAGCGTGTCGTTTCCAGAAATGTGTTCTGGTGGGAATGGACCCAAATGGTAAGCTAAATACTAAAAATTGAAGGGTATAATGTTTTTTTTAGCAATTCAATACCCCGCAAAAACCGCAAAAGAAGAGATATTTGACGATGATGAAGCGGGGACGAGCTCGCCGACTGATGATTATGAGGAGCAGGTTTGTGACTTTTCAGTTGCTCTCTCTCTCTCTCTCTCTCTCGCTCTTTATCTCTCTTTCTCTGCCAACATTAGCGTCATTTAAGCCTTTGCTCTAGATGCAAATGCAAGTCGTCTCGTTGGCCTCGCGAGAAGATACGGCTTTTGCTGAACTGCTCGATACCCTGGCAAGTTTTTAACGAAATTTTTAAACGATTTAAAAACCCTAAACCTGGTTAAAATTATTGCTAGGCCATGTCTTTCAATCACCTTGCAATCCAAAATTTTAGATGCGAAAAGAAACCTCGACCGTCTACATGCGACGCCAGGAATGCCCATGGTCTTTCGACATCACATTACCTGAACTCCTTGAAAACCCTGTATACTGGGGAAAAGTTTTGTGGAGATGTGCAAGGTATAAAGCTTAATGAGCCTGATTAGCTATTGGATTTTTTTAGTTAACCGGAGAGGAATCGACGATGCAGGTTTACAAGAAGAATCCGATCAAATTCTGGATGGTCGTTGACATGCTCTTGGCTTGTGAATACGCCAAAACGTTTCCCGCTTTTCATCAGTTGAAAGAGTTTGATCAGGTTGGTAATAAAAAAGGAGAGTAAGAGGGAGAGGGAGGGAGAGCGGCAGAGAGATAGAGAGAGAGATATCGGGGAGCTAGCAGCGATCGTTTTTGAAATCGCCCTAATTTCAGCGGATCCTTCTTTCGCAAGTCGTCGGCATGATCCTCATCTTGCTCCAAGCTTTTTGCTCGTTAGAACAGAAGAGCGAGAAGCTCATCTTTCCGGATGGCCTGGATGCGTTGTCGTTCCAGCTGACACGATTGTAAGTCATATTCCGCCTGCAAGCTCTCTTTGTTTCCTTACTACATCGTGGCATCAAACAAGGCAAAGGTACAAAATTTTCTTTAGTGACCATCGTTTCGAGGACTACTTCCGCGAGAACTATTGCCGGCCGATTGCGCTGATCCGAAATTGCGGCATGGAGAAGCAGCACTACATTCTGATGAAGGCGATTTTGCTTTTTACTCCAGGTAAGGGCTCAACTAGCTTTAAAGGGGTCAACCATGAAAAAATTTGCATGGATTTCCGGCTAGAGAGCGCGCCCTGGTGAGAGGAGCAAGCGTTTCGCATGCAAATTTTTCCACGATTTGTGGAAAACCCAAGCTGCTGAAAGTGTCCCCTTAAATTAAAGCCTTCGGAATTCCAAGTTGCTGAAATTTAATTTATCGTTCTGCAGGGCTTTGCGATCTGTCGCCCGAGGGTCAGAAGATTGTCGACAACGAGAGGGCCCGATTGTGCTGCTGCTTGCATCGGCTTCTGATTTCTCAATATGGGGAAGCAAAGGTAAGATAGCAAGCTTATGCTCATTCTGACGCTCTCTCTCTCTCTCTCTCACTCTTTCTCGCTGTTTGACTAGCTCCGTCCTACTCTCTCTCGCTCTCGCTGATCCTCTCCGGTTCTCGAAAACCTTAATACGCAATTTTTAGGGCGTCGCCAAATTCGGCAAGTATTTGATGATGGTGGAGAGCTTCGTGCGTTTCAACGAGAAGAAGCGCTCCCACCTGGAGATGAGCGTCATCCTCAACAAGGTCGTCATGACGCCGCTTGGAGACGAGATATACCTGAAACGTCATTTTAAATATAACAAATAGATATCAGGGAGATCGCGTCCCTGGGTTCATAAATCTGATCACGATCTCGGTAGAAAGCCCTCGGAAATGTAGCTTCAAAAATTACCTTATCAAAAACGCTATTTGTTTCATCTGATTTCCATGACCCCGGTTCGAAGCAATATACGGCCATTACAAAAACCCCTTCCCAAGCTCTTTCTTCACTTTCACTGTCAAATAAAGCTGTTTTTCTCGATCAGCCGCGTTTTATCTATCACTCTCACTCTCGCTCTCTCTCTCTCTCTCTCTCTCTCTCTCTCTCTCTTCCATGCCCCATCCTACACAAATACCGGTCTCAATTAACACCAAACCCCGTGAAATAGTGTTGTATAGTGTTTGTGTGTTTTTTTAAATAGTCTTATACATTTTTTTGTGACAGTAACTCCATTTCTAGTCATCCAAATCTTTTCGATATTGCATGTCATTTTTTCTTTCATTTATCTCGATTCAGTTTGTGATTTACCCCCTCACCCGGTTGCCAGATTCAATTATTCGCCTCTCGCCAGGGTTGTAAGCATACAAAATATACATGTTGTGGATTAATGAATAAAGTTATGCTAATAAGGAGGTGGAGCATCGACAACATGAGAAAATGCAAACCAAGGAGAACGATAGCTGATTGTAAGAGTTGACTTTCGCAGGGAGGCTGAATCGGAAATTCGAAGTAGTAGCGGGACATCGGCTTCTTAGTAAAATAGACGCATCAATAAATTAGGTCAACGTCTGCGCGAATTTGGGAATTAAACCTTTGTCCGAATCAGGATATCCAAATATAATACCTAGGTATCTCTCTCTTTCTCTCTCGCTCTCTCGCTCTTTCTCTCTCTCGCTTTCCCCCCCTCTCTCTCTCTCTCTCTCTCTCTCTCTCTTGATCCTTCGTTCTCTCTCCCATTTCCAAGTCTTCAATCTGTGAAATAGACTTTTTTAAGAAATAACGCTTCCTGCACCCAGAATGACCCGGGAGCTACAGCAGCTTTTGCTTCCGGATACTACGGAGAAGAATTCTTTAGATGATGCTGAATATGTCAGTATTTTTAGCGTAGATCTGTGCTTCCACCGTTTTATCTGATGGCGCATTCGACTTGTGACCAAAAATGGTCAATTGAAAACCTTACGGAAACCTAGTTTTAGAACAAATTAAAGCCTGCTTTATATACGCTATAAGGCATCCCTACAGCTCAATCTCACGCCCTCGACTTCCTAAATTTGCCGGACATGGTGAAGCGCAACATCATTTCCTACATAATCTGCGACCTCCGTTCATTCGCCGAATTCGCGACGGTCAGCCGGACATGCTTGGATCTTGTCTGCCGGAGCCCACGGTATTTTGACGAGATCAGGATGGGCGACATCCTTGAGGACCATACGGTGTGTATCATGAGGAATGGAGCGCGTTACTGGGCGAGTGACGTTGGCGTTTGGAGACGGATCATCGAAGGCGCTCGAGTCGGAATATTATTCTTGCGCTCAGGCTCCTGCCAGGCCCCTCCGCCATTGCTTGCCGAAAAACTTGTGGTTCATGGCTTCGCACCGTGGAGCGTCGAAAAACTGCAGGTATGGCGAGCTAGCATTTTTTCGAAGAACGATTTCGGAAAAAAAATGTTTGCCAAAAATCATTTTTCGTAAAATAATATTTTCAAGTACATATTTTTGCGAGGAGTACCACCTTCCAAAAATATTTTTTTTTTGAAAAAGGTAGTTTCGCGAAGGATCGTGGTCTTAAAAATCATATTTTGGAAAGGATCATTGTTTCGGAAATCACTTTTTGCGAACAGCCTTTGGAAGACATTTTTTGCAGATGCCTAATATTCCAAAAGTCATATTTTCCATAGATTTCAAAAGAAAAACCATTTTCCCGAGAGGTTGTTCTTTCGAAAATTGTCTATTTTTAACCCTTGATATCAATTCCTCGAATTTTCGCAAACTTTCCAAATAAGGGGCTTTTCCAAACAATGAACGGCGCAACCATTATTTTCGAAAAGTTCAATGGAAATTTGCAGGGATACAAGCCGGGCGGCAAATTCCGACGCATTGAATTGTCCTATGTGCCCGACAGAATCCCCTCCGATCTCATCGATTTCCTGCGCGACAACACTGAATACCTTGTGACTTTGCAACTTTCTTGTTTTTGTTGAATACGTTGCTTAGGTTTAGTTACGAATTGTTAATAAATTTTTGGGATGGTACTGGCGTGGCAAATATAACATACATCGCCAAAAAAATGGATCCACGGGCTGGGGGAGCAACTGCGCGCGTGACAGCGTGTTGCTGCAACATTCTTCTAACTTGCGGCTGCAGAATTTTACGCTCGTTTCGAATGTTGTCCAAATCTGCCGACCGACAGGGTAAAGGAAAGTCAGCAGCCGTTGCAGGGCAAAAAAAATACGACGATTTCGCGAAATTCGGCCATTTTGGGCGGTTTTGGAGCCGCACAACTCTTTCAACACGGCCGCCTCAAAAGCTCGGAAACTCCGATTAGGTACCGGTAAAAATCTTTGCATAAGGTAGGCTCACATCTGCACACTCTCATTAATGTATCCGGCTCTCATTAATTCGACAATTAGCAGATAAGACCACTTTGGTCAAAAATTTGAGAAAATTGCAAGAATCCGCGTAACACATGCATTTCCTTTTCCTTAATCGTTGTAAAAATCAAGCGAAGGCGAGCGTATCCAAGCGGTTCATCGCAAAATTTGGAGTATAACCTTCCCCTCATTAACGTAACTGGAAAATCCGACTCCAAAGAACCAGGCCAACATCTGCGCCTTTCAAACGGGTTGCTGTCGAAAGGGGCTATCCGAGAAACCGATTACATTACCAATTATCACTTTAAAATAGAACCTTTAAGCTGGAGACTGCAGTCTCCTTTTCCTATCGCAGTGGTTTTCTCCCGATTTGAAGCATATTTAGGAAATGGAGCCGTCTGGCGGGAGCGACGAGTTAACCGCGATGATGCAGGCTCTCAGCATTTGTGAAAAAGAGGGTCCTGCAACCCCAGAGGATCAGGTAAAAGGATTAATTTTGACGCGATGAAAATCGTATGCTGAAAAATCTACGGTAGAATTAGTCTAGGCTGTATCCTAAGTTTCTCGATGTAAGAGAACTCCTGCGATAAACGGCGACTTTTTGAACAGCGCTCAGCTTTCAAAAAGTGTTCAACGATAATCTTGGTCTTCGAAAAAATTTTAAAAAAATTGACGTTATGTTAAAACCAGGCTAAAAAAAAGGCAGAAGCAGCCATTTGAGAGCAGGTTTTTCGTTATAGATAAGCGATTCCTTTAAGAACATTAAAAAAAATAGGATTTGCAAAATTTCAAGCCCTAGCGAACTAGCTAGGGCACATCGCACAATTCCCAAAAGACCCGTTGTGGGTCCTTTTATCCGGAAGTTGCAAACTTTATTCAAACTCAGAATTACAGGAAGTCGGCTTCCACGCCTTCCCACGCCTGGTAAAACACTTAATCATCTCCTACCTCAACGTCGATCCCAACTCCCTCTTTGCGTTTGCTATAACAAGCCGGAAAAGCTGGGAATTCGTCTGCTCGAGCCCACGCTACTTCAGCGAGATCCGGATGCGAAGTTGGGAACATCGTGGGACAAGGGTTACCCGGAAAGACGTATCGAACTACATCTACAGTCTGCGGATGTGGGGCCAGCTCCTGGCGGGCGCAAGCGTCGGAAAAGTACATCTAACCCATCCACACCCCTATTTCACCCTTCCACCGCTACAGGCCGACCATCTGACCATTCAATGGATTCAATACTGGAGTGTTGCGCAGTTAAGAACATACAATCCCGCGGGCAAGTTTCGGCGTGTCGAGATCATCTACCCAGGCTGCGTTGCTGTACCATTCGGCGTCATCGATTTTCTAAGGGCCTCAGCGGAAGAACTTGTACATCCAATGCCCCTAGATACCTTCCAAATCGGCTGGTATGGGAGGTTCACTAATTTGCGGATGCGCATTGTTGAGTATCACGCCGGCCATTGGCACGTCGCCTACATGAGGCATTTCCTGCTGGGTTGGAGGGACGGATGGCGAACCATTGAGCGGATCACATTCGAGATGGAGTGGATGCGGCCAAACTGCCATCTACCCGCATTCAAATGGAATTTGGACGAGTTCAACCCGACGCCCATTGACGATTTTCAGTGTCGATCTCGCGGCCAGATGGGCAAAGGTTGACAATCAGATTTGGTCACAAGCATACTGCAATCTTTCCTGGTTGATGCATCATTTGTTAAACGAAACTTGTTGGTTGGTTCTCTCACCCCCTCTCTCTCTCTCTCTCTCTCTCCTGCCTCCCTCTCTCTCTTCTTTTTATCTCGCTCTCTATCCCCCCAACACGTTTTCTCGCTTTCCACGATCTCGCTCTCACTTTCAGGTGATCTCCTCCCTATCAACCTCGCATTCTCTTTCTGGTTCACTATCGCTCGCTCGCAACCTCTCTCTCTCTCTCTCTCTCTCTCTCTCTCCCTCTCTCTCTCTCTCTCTCTCTCTCTCTCCCTCTCTTCATATCTCGCTTTTTACCATACATTTTCTTTTGGTAAAACAATAAAGATCATCTTACCTCTCACAGTAACACATTCGAGCAACTTCAGGCCAATACGCACGCGGTTTTGAAACTTGGTCAGCTCTCGTCACCTATTAACTAGGCATGCAACCAATTTTTTTAATTTTTCGGGTTCCAAATATCGATTTGAATAACTCCTGAAATGTTCACGATTTTACTAGTTATCCTTTCCATTGCACTACAAAAGTCCCAAAAAAATTGGAATTTTAGGCAATGTACGATTTCCAGCTGCCAGGTGATCGAACAACTGTTGCGCAAGTTTCTTGCCGTTTGAAAAACGCGTTCCAGCGACAGTTGCACCTGGGGTAATTTTCTTTCTGATTAATCGCATCAATATTTCTTTATTACCCAGCATATTTTGTGCAGAAATTTTCGCTGATTCCAAAATTGATTTTTAACGGAGATTT